CCACCCAGCTGCCTTATCACTACACCACCAGAGCTGCTTTGAAAGAGGGTAGCTGAGAAGAAAATTGAGCTCTGTGCTTCAGTCAAGGCAAAAACAAACAAACAACAACAACAACAAAAAAAAACGAGAAGTAGAGACAGCTGTATCTCATTCTGGAAACGAATTAAGTGATCGGAGGTGTCATTAGGGACAAAATAAGGATTTATTTTCTCTGTGCCATATATAACTGTACATTTGCCTGTTTTTTCTCTTGCCTGTTGTATTTCTAGATCAAACCACTGAGAAAGGAAGATGAAGGGGTGTACCAGTGCCGTGCGGCCAACACAGTTGGGGAGGCCCAGTCCCAAGGCACAGTGATGGTCACGGAGCTGAGTGAGTAACTCTACGCCCCTCTCAGCTCCAGAAGACCCGTGTCAGGGAGTAGAGGACATACTCTAAGTCATTTTTAATATTTACATATGCATGTCACGGGAGGTTTGCAATGGCTTATGAGATATATAATGAAAAATACATAAATCAAGGAGCCAGAGGGAAGGCAAACTGGAGCAGGGACATAGCAAGATGAGCAGATTGGATCCATTGTGTCCCACCCGGGTACCACCCAGTCAAAGGCTGTAAGCACTGTGGTGTCCATACAATAAAGAGCATGTTTTCCTGGTTTGGAGGCGGAAGAGAGTCTTTCCTCTGGGTCCTCCTAGAGGGGGCACCAAGTGACACAGCTCACGGTGTCATTGTGCTAGCATCCCGGTGGAAACACCCCTCCCCGGCAGTCAGGCTGTGTTGTGTCGGTCTGTCCCCAGGCTGCGCCTCAGTGACCAGCTCTGCCATCTCCAGATTGGTCCTACCCACTGCATGCTGCTTAGCAACACGCCTCTGAAGGACGGGGGCAAAGAGGGTCTCCAGGTCTCCTCTGGCCAGGTAGCTCTTGGTCCTCGTCGGTGCATGGAGAGAGCTGGGCAGCTTCTGTCCCCTCCCGGCGGGACTGTGAACTAGGGAGGGATGGATCACTTCATCAGCCAGCCTCAGCTGCCTAACAGCTCCCTCCCTTGCTGGTTCGCAGCCGCTCACATTCATAGTTCTTGCTCCTGTTCCACGTCGCAGCGGGGGCTCCAGGAGCCCAGCGTCCTAGGACCTAGCCAGAGGAGCGGGCCTGATGTGGGATGTGCCCACTATCATGGCAGAAGGAAGAGCAACAGGCAAGCCCCCACACGGTCACATTTGCCCTTTCTGCTCAAATGTGGCGTTGGTCAGACTCCTAACCATCCATTAGCCAAAGGGAGTCACCTGGCCACACACCCAAGGTCCATGGGGTAGGGGGATGTGTACTCTTGCAGGAGGCACATGTGGGACGTGATGCCCTCCTCCAGAAACCAGAGTGAATACTCATGACAGTCTGTCAGCAAGGCCGACCAATGACTTTGTGATAGAGCGGGAAAACTTAGAAGCAAGCTTGATGGGTACATAAAGGGCATGGAGGTGGCATCTTCTGAGCCCCTGACTTCACAAGAGGAGGTTACTATCAGCTCCCCAAAGCTTATTCCTAGGAGACCAGACCTGCCACCATCCTCCAGCCTTTTACCAATTCTGGCACCAACTGTCCCTCCCACAGCATTTACTACTTCTCTGCTGGGTTTGATAATTCGTTGCAGTGGCCACACAAAACCCACAGACAGTACTCATGATTATGGGGCTTATTAGGGAAGTAACAGGCAACAATTCAGGTTCAGGAACACTCTCAGGATGCCTTTCTTTGATCAGGACAGCCTCCCCTCTGCTACACCCTCGGGTACACGCCCCCCTGGTCCTTGGCCTCTCGGCCTGGCCTCTGCCCTGCTCACGAAAGTGGTACAAAGCTCTTTTAGCTCTGTCAATAGGTACACCTCCATGCACCCCACTCCGTGAGCAAGCCTCCTGCCCAGGGGCACTCAGCCTTCTTGCTCCGCAGGCCCGAAAGCTTGCCTCTCTGCCCCATGCCTCTTGGTTTCTCATCCAGGTCTCTGCTGAGTCATCTCTGCCAGCGAGGTCCTGCACAGGGATCTTGTGTCCAGGGATGCACTCCACTTCACCTCTAGCTCTTCTCTGTTGGCCGCAGTGAGATCCCTTCCCTGCCTCTAAGAGGGATTGTTTTAAGCCTGGCAGAGTGACAAAACTAACCAATCCCAGTGTCAGGGTTCTACACACCTTATTTGCATGTTCCCACCTAGTAACCAGGTGGGAGTTACAAAGACTATGGTAGAAAAGCCACACCAGGTGATTCAGTGCACCACAGCAGGGTTGAAGAAAGGTTGAGACAGAGCTCGCTACCTCCAGATGCCGTCTTTGGATTTTCGAATAGTGGAAAAGTTCTTCCTCACGTGAAGCTGGAACCTACCTCCCATTGGTCTGAACCAATCTCTTGGGGGTTCCTAGGCTCCTCTGCTCCCCATGGGCATGTTCATTGCCCAGGGGAGTGTTGACTTTAAGGACTGTTTTCCCACCTCCACTGAACACGTCCAGATCGTGACAAAGCAGGCTTACTTTTGTCTAATTTTTCCCCCTTTTCCACCTAGGGACTTAGAAACAGTGACCACTGATGATGGAAGAGCCACGTCACGGATCGCTGTCCTTTGTGAACTTGGAAGAACTGCATTTGTAGATGACCCCTTTTGTATGTTTTTTAAAATTAGGTCCAACTAGATTGATACATAGTTTTTAGCTGGGCAGATGTTGGGAAGACAGGAGTGCACGTTGCTGTTTACAGTTTTGGAATGAGTTGCTCTGTGGGAATTCTTGTTAACTCCTCCTTCCAGGGAGGATCACACGATGGTCTCTTTGTAGTTCTGGGGCTTGAAGCCAGCAAGCATCCACTGTGAATCCTCACCTCACCTGTGTGTGGCCGGTTAGTGGGTGCTCTGTTACTGGTCCGTGCTGTCAAAGGATGGAGGTGGGTTCCTCGCTCTCCTTTGCCTGCCCTTAACTTGCTGTGTGACCTGAATGGGTCCCTTTCCCTCTCTGGACCTTGGTTTCTTTACCTGTGAACATGGCATTGGACTAGATATTTCCACTGTCCCTTCTAGCCCTGCCATCTTAGAGTAAGATGACTCTGAGTCCAAGACACAGGAGGTATGGTCTTCCTGTTCCTGTTAAAATGCCGTTCTTCAAACAGAAATGCCATTAAGGACAGCAGCAGACAACAGCAAACTGTGCCGTTGCTTCCAACCAGAGTGGACCCTGAGCACGGCTGTGCCATCCCTGTCTCTTCCCTGTTTTGTAAAGCGGTTTAGTCCTCAATGGGACAGTTGCCAGGCTCCGGGGCCCCTTGGCTTGGTGTTTGTTGGTGCTGGTGTTGTTAGGTGCCGTTGAGTCAGTTTGTACCATAGTGAGCCCGTGCATAGCACAATGGAGCCTGCCTGGTCCTGAGCCGTCCTCACAACCACTGCTGCACTTGAGGCCACTGTTGCAGCCGCTGCGTCCGTCCCTCTGGCTGAAGGTCTTCCTCCTTCTCACCGACCCTCCGCTTGACCACGCATCAAGCCCTTCTCCAGGGACTGGTCCCTTCTGGCAACATGTCCAAAGTGTGTGAGATAGAGGTTTGCCGTCCGTGCCAAAGGAGCTTCCTGGCTGTGCTTCTTCCAGCACAGACTTGTTTGTTCTCTGGCAGTCCGTGGGGTATTCCACATTCTTCACCAACGCCACAGTTCAAAGACATCAGTTCTTTTCGATCTTCCTTATTCATCGTCCGTGGGCTGGGCATTTGGGGACCATGATACCTGCTTGTTAGCCCGCCATTTTCCAACCAGGATGGGCAGTGGGGACTTGGCTTCTGGACATCAAACTATAAAAACTGTCAGAAGCTGTCAGCACTCAGAGTGTAGAATCAGAGTAACTCACCAAACCAAACTCACTGCCATGGAGTCAGATCTGACTCACAGCGACCCCTCCTTGGCTTTCCGAGAGTGGGGTAGAGTAAATTTTACTTACAGATGTTTTGAACTCATACAAGAATAAGGCTTTCTCCTCTTTCTTCTTTTTAATGGAAAAAGAGGGCAGATGTTTATTATCTGGACTGAAAATATAGACACGTCGCCCCTTAGGAGATAAAAATTTTTGAAATAAGAATCTGGGTCCCTCCTGGTTCAGGTTCCTGAAGTACTGCCCCATCCAGGTCACTTCCCAGAGGAAGGGCTGTTGGGTGTTAATGGCTCTCCCCATTCACAGACGAAGAAAACGGCTCCCAGAGGCAAAGCCTTTGCCCCAGGTCTGAGGCCTGTGAGCAGGACTAGAACGCAGGGCGTCTGGTCCCTCTCGTCGCTCTTTCCACCACCCAGTGCTGCGCCTCAGGATGATCTCGTAACTGTGATTAAGGTGCTTCTCAGCTCACAGGTTTCAGGGACTCTTACCAAGGTTCATCTCAACTTTGATTGCATACCCTCATTCCGCCCCCCCCCCCGCCCCCAGCGGGTTACAGTGTGAATTCTTTATTGGAACTGAACTTTCTACCTTTGCTCCTGGCCATTCCATATTTGAAATGCCAGGATAGTGTCACTCTGACAAACTGCCTGGCAGAGGATACCGACCTGCGAATCTGGAAACCTAGGGTCCACTTGTGAATTTGTCCCTCTTGTGCTGTGTGACCCTGGGCAAGCCCCTCCCACTCTCTGGGCCTCCGTTCCCCCACTTAAATAGGAAAGGAATTAAACTAGACAGATGGCGTTCACCCTTTGTAACCCATTCTTTGAATAAACTCAGAATTGCAACTGATCCAACTGAAGCTGCTCTTGTCTGTTTGGGGTTGAGGCTGCCAGGGTCCCCACTCACATCCCTCCCCACTTGACAGCTCCTTCCTGTCTGCGTCTAGATCTGAGGGTCTGCGGTTCATTTCCTTGAGTGTTGATTGGGTGGGAGGTGACTTGGTAGGACACTTGGTGAAACTGTGTCAGAGGGTGGACTGAGAACCCTGGGATGCTGGGGCCCCACATGAGGTGGTAGAATGACCTCACGCACACAGCAGAATTAGTCACATCACCTCAAGTTTGCTGGGCCGGAATTGGAGACCAGGATGTAGCCCCAGAGAAGAGGTGGCTGGAGCCCAGGGTGGACCAGTTGAGCAGAAAAATGTCACCCTGCCTGGCATTTCCAGTCTAACCCAAAGGTCAGCACGTGTGTCCTACTCAATGGGCTTCCACTGAGGGGGCTCAGACGCACCCGGGCTGAGGCCCCCTGTGCTCTCACTTCTGTTGTCGCGTGGAAACATGAGCCCTCCAACGCCCAGGCTTCTCTGCCCTACTTTCTTAGCTGTCGTGATGTCACATGACCCTAACGCCCTGAAAATACATGTTTTCAACCTATTCTTGTCTCCTTGTCTCCTCCTGTGGGCCTGACCCTTCTAGCTGGCCCCCGA